GCTTTTTACAGGCAAAGACAACACATCTCACAGTTGGAGCAGAAGGTCAGGGAAAGTGAACTACAGGTTCACAGTGCCCTGCTTGGCTGCCCAGCAACCTATGGAGATGTCTACATGTTGAGAATGCAGGTAAGCAGATGCAGCAGGGGGTCAGTAAGAAATTGGTATTGAATCCAATGGCCTTATCACTTCTTATTAGGTGTTCCCTGAGTAGAAGGCCTATGCAGAATAAAGTGATCCTTTGTATGGGATCCCTATTACCTGTCTTTGAGATTTCAAGCCCTAAAGTGTTATGGTTTGTTTAGAAGCTCTGCTAGTGATGCAAAGGCCTGATGGCACTGACATGCTATTTCAGATACTGCAGTGTATAAGATGGCCTGACTGATGTTTGGGGATTGGGGGGGGGCTGAGAACACAGCTCTGAGGCAGCACAGATGCTTAATACCAGCTTGGCTCTCTTTGCAGGAGCTGCAGCGGGAGAACACATTTCTTCGAGCACAGTTCACAGAGAAGACTGAATCCCTCAGTAAGGAAAAGATTGAATTGGAGAGAAAACTGGCTGCTGCAGAGGTGGATGCAAAGCTTATAAGGGAGTCACTGAAGGAAACTATGCAGAAACATGCAGAGGAGTTAAAAAAACAGGAAGAAAGGGTATGATCCCATTGCTCTCAAGATCGGAAGGTGGTTTTGCTTTGAGAAACTGAAAGTCCATGTAGTGTGAAGATGAAAGCTTTTTGTGGGCATGATCATAGCAGGTATTTTCTGGTCTCCTTGTGGAGTACTTTGGATTGTAAGCAAAAGCCCTTTCTCCTGCAGTTAGAAGGATTTCAGTACCTCCTCTTTTAACCAGAGAGGAGGCCTGTCTTTAGCTAGATGAGCAGAAATACTTCTGAGTTAAGGTGATCTTGTGTTTTGGTGTTTAGTGCTGTACAAAAAGGTAAATGAGGCTTACATAGGACTGAAGAATGGATAAGAAATTATATAAACTGAACTTTTTATAACTGTCCCTGCAGGTAAAGGGAAGAGACAAACACATTAATAACCTTAAAAAGAAATGCCAGAAGGAATCTGAACAGAACAGAGAGAGACAACAGAGAATTGAGACCCTGGAACGATATTTGGCTGATCTACCAACCCTTGAGGACCACCAGAAACAGAATCAGAAGGTAAAACTTCGGTTGTGATGATAGCTCTTCACATACTTGCTCAGGTGACTTCTCTACAGCTGCAGTGCAGCTGCACAAGTAAAGTTGTGGTCTAATCTTTTTGGAGGAGGAATGTTCTGAGCTATAACTAAGAATTGCCATGTAGGTACTAAAAATGGACATTGAAAATGTAGTTGAAACATTCTGTGTGTGGTAAAACCCCTGGGAGTTCTCTAGAATGTTCTGATGGCCTTTGTTGCAGCTGAAGGAATCTGAACTGAAGAGTACTGCTATGCAAGAAACAGTGCTGGCACTGGAAACAGAGCTTGGAGATGTCCGGGCTGCTTTCAGGGAGCAAGAGGTGCAGCTGGAAACCCAAAAACACAAGGAGCTGGAGCTTCTTTCTACTGTGCGCAGGTAAAAGTCAGGAGGATTTGAATAGCACTGAAGTAATTGCTGCGCAAGGGCTGTGATGATTCAGCACAGCCACTGTCCCTCCTGTCAGAACCTGGTTACCATGGCCGTGTGATGATTATGTGAGTGCTTGCTAAAACTGTGTTTAAATTTTGTGTGCCAGCAGCGGAGGGTGGGAGCAGAACCACATGCTGAAAGAAAGGGGGCCCCTATTCTGTTACCTGGGCTTGTGTCCTCAGGTTAATTGCTCTTGTCAACCATAACTCCTGGCAAAACGGACCTCTTTAGTCTGCAATTGTTGTGTCTGCAAATGTGCCAATATTATGGGTAGGGCTGTGTCCAAGGAAGGGAGAATTCTGTCATAGCCCTGGCAACACTGACACCTGAGATGAAAATCATTTGCCCCCTCATAGTGAGGGAGGCACCCTAAATAAAGCTGGTTTTCCCATGGTGTTCTGCCAATTGCAGCTTGCAGGACAAGGTGCAGCAGTGTGTGAAGAATGCAGAGAGAGGAGCCTCTGCCCAGGATGGGGAGAGACAGAAGATAGAAAATGACTCTCTGAAGAAAGAATGTGACCGCCTCAGGAAGGTAACAGTGTCTCAGCTGGGAATCTCACCTTTTCTTTCCACTGAGTCACACCAGGCACTAAAAATGAAATCGGGGACTTTTGCAGTCACTGTTGTAATGAAGCAGCAGTTCCTAGAATTCCAGGCTGAGTGGTTTTAGAAGCTGTTCTTGCTGTGATAACTGCTTTCCTGCAGTTAACACTGGAGACAAGCTGCAGAATGTAGAAGAAAACCACATGAATGCAACTTGTCCAGTCTTGTATTTAGCTGATACTTCTAATGGTGCCTTTCATCGGGGAATCCACTACTAACAGAAGCAGTGATTAAAGCAGTAAATGGACGGGAAAAGGAGGGAGAGGGGAGATGCTCTCTTACTGCAGGAGAAATCCTGGTGGAATTACTGAGTTTGTGTGGCCAGTTCTGATGCTTCTGCTTTTGATTCCAGATTGTGGACAAACAGCAGAAGAAGGCAGAGCAATTGTCCTTGCAAGTAAAGGTGAGAGGTGACTGTGGAGGGACCTAGAACTCGAGAATCTGCTGTGATGTGAGTTAGACTCACTACTTGCCCATGGTCTGTTCCAGAGCCTGGAAGAACAGGTGACCCAGGAAGAGGGGACAAGCCAAGCTCTGAAAGAGGAGGCGGTGAGAAGAGAGAATGCACTGCAGCAGCTCCGGGCCGCTGTGAAAGAGGTCAGAGCAGGAGTGCTGAGTGCCTGAGCGTACCAGCTGAATGAACAACAAGTTGTCTTTTAGCTAGGCCCTTAATTTGCAGTCAGCAACATAACCTCTCCTGCTTCCTGCTAGTCAGTTGCTCTAAAAGGAGCTCTTCTCTGTTCAAAAGCAGGAGGAGAAACCCAGTTCCTGCCTTGGGTTTGAGTTTGCCAGCTGGGGGCAGCACGGCAGCGAGCAGGACTCCCACCTGGCCCACAGCCGTGGTTGAAGGGCAGGGCTGAGCCCTACTCTCAAACCTGGAGGAAGCCAAGCACAGTGGCAGCCCTTGAGGGAAGGGGATGGCCCGTGTTGGGGTGAGCAACTGGTGAACAACCTCCTGGCAGCTTATTTTGTTGCATCATGCCCCAGGAGGGATAGTGCAGTGTCATGGGGTGCTTCCTGTCTGAGCCAGGAAAGCTGAATGCTCGCACCTTAGAATAGAATCATAGAATCAGCCAGGTTGGAAAAGACCTTTAAGATCATCAAGTCCAACCATTATCCCAGCACTGCCAAAGGCCACCACTGAACCATGGCACTAAGTGTCTCATCTGTATGTTGGGGTTTTTTTTTAACACTTCCAGGGATGGTGATTCCACTACTGCCCTAGGAAGCCTGTTCCAATGCCTGATCACTGTCTAGGTGAAGAATTTTCCCCTAGACCTTATGACACTGACTCTTGCTTATCTGGCAAGAGTCTGGAGGGCTTGATATAAATCAGCTCCTCCTGCCTTCAGTGCTCCCATCATCATCGAGCACTTGTGTTAAGTTGTTCTAAGTGTACTAGTTCTAAACCAGGTCACCACTGACCTGCTGTGCCCATTTGTTCAGCTCTCAGTGCAGAACCAGGATCTCATTGAGAAGAACCTGACCCTTCAGGAACGGCTCCGTCAGGCAGAGCTAACAACCCAGCCACTGCCTGCTGAGACAGCCCGCCTGGCCCAGGACCTGCACAGCGAGCTGGCCAGTTGCCTGCAGGATTTGCAGTCTGTCTACAGCATTGTCACTCAGAGGGCTCAGGGCAAGGATCCCAACCTCTCTCTGCTCCTGGGCATTCGCTGTAAGTATGTGGAGTGATGACAGAGCAAACCCCTCAGGTCCTGTGCTGTGGCAGAATTAAACTTGTGTGTAATATAGCACTTCTACAATACAGAAGAGGTTCTCATCTTTCTAGGGTTCTGAACCTTCTTTCTGTGGTTAGCCAGCTCTGAAGGTGCATGCTGTAAGAACTAAATGTTAAGTAGCACCTCTTTTGTAAACCTGCATTGTTTTTTCTGCCTCACTCGCAAATGTGTGTGATCTTTGGTCACTATTACATGTTGAGGTGACTCCCTTCTCTGACTCCACAGCTGTGCAGTACTCTGCTAAGGAGAAGGATGACTTACTGAGCCCTGATGGACTTGCAAAGAAACTGGTGGAGGTAAAACAGCTTCACAAAGAGGTGGAGGACTTAAGGACGGCAATATCTGACAGATACGCTCAGGACATGGGAGACAACTGCATCACTCAGTAAAGAATTACTCCCAAAGTAAGACAGAAAACCAAGACTTGAAACTCTCAGGAGTCTAGAGCTCCTACAACTCAAAACCTATTCAGCACTTTACCATCCCTTTGCTCGGGTACAAGATGTGTGACTTATCCAATCCATGAGAATCCAGGGGGTTTGTTTGCCAGAAGTGTTCAGCTGCTGAACTGGAATCGTTCAGGTCTTTGGTGTCAGGCTTTGCAGTAGCTTTGATCTTGTGGAATGTGTTTGTGCTGTGTTTGCTGGAGCTGGTGTGGTCTCTGATGCTGGGAGTTGAATCCTGAATTGCCTTCCAGGCATGTCAAATGCTGAACATGCAAATGTGACAGTTAAAATGATCACTAAAAGGAAATGTATGCCCCGATTTTCCTGATAAATTCTCTGTGAAGATCCTGTGTGACTAGGAAGACTAGAGGATTATTGGGGTGTTCAGGGACTATTTGTGGAGCAGGACCCGTTTTCCTCAGGTAAACACATCTGGAGTCTTTCAGTAGTCAAGACGAGTTGGGGAATAAAGCAACACTAAAGGAAGACTCTGAAAATGCTCCCCCTGGGCACTGATACCCCAGAAGCCTTAAGCCTTTTATCCCCCCACCCCACCCCACCCCCCCCCCCCCCCGTAGCACTCTGTGGATATGATTCAGGCTGCAGAGGAAGCAGATTGATGCTGAAGTGCCTTAATGAGAAACCTCCTATCCCCATGCTAATGCATCTGCTGGCAAGGGGAGAAACTGCTGTTTCTTGTAGCAGCCTCTAGAACCATCCAGAGGCTCTGCACTCCGGGTGACCTGCCCAGGGCAGCTGGGATGTGCACCTCTGCTTGGCCCTCAGCTTGCTAGGGAGAAAGCCATTCTGGTCCTACCACGGCAGGATGGCACAGCTGGATCTGAAAGCTCTTCCTGCTGCCTGCAAGGCAGTGACCACTTGGGTTTTGTTGTAGCCATGCCCCTTGATGTCTGGGAACTCCCTGCTCTTCTGCTAAATAATGGGATTTCTAAATAAATCTGTATGGGATGTGATCTGCTTTATCACAACCCTCATTAACCTAGTGACAACTCCACAGCACTTGCTTGTGCCAATGCTGTGGTGCTGTCGGTGGAACTTACTTGGTTTTCAGCTTGAGTTAAGAGCAGTATAGTCAGTCAGCTGTACTGCAGGAGAGAAAATACTGCTGAAACTTCTGTTGGTTGTTTCTTGGTTCATGTTGGGGCTGCAGGCCCTAGGTTTGGGAGAAATGCTTTTGGTGTTCCTCTTTTTTTCTTTAAGACCAAATCTGTTTTGTTCTTAGTTCTTTGTTTGGCCACCATGGGTGATGGTGGCAGGGAGGTGGTTAGTTTGCTGTCCTGAGCTACCCCCTGCATGGTACAGGGAGAGAGCACGGTGGTGTCTGCCCTGTTCTGTCTGCATCGGGTGTATTACGTTTCAGACTGTTTCTGTTCCCAGGATGCTGCTGCCATGTACTGAGCTAAATGTGGGCCAAGACTGTTTCCTAAGGTCGTTTGTCCTGGCTGCTGGGAGCTCTCTAGGCACTGGGGTGCAGAGCAGCACCAGCTGTGAGTCGCTCTCTCCCTAGGGTGCTGTTTGGCCCCATCCCCTTTCCCCAGTGTAGGGTGCAAGATCTAATTCCCAGGTGCTGTGCAGGGACACGATTGCCCTCTGTGCAATGAGATCGTGGCTGAAACCAGCTCAGTTGATGCGCGGAGCCTTCTGCCTGGCAGTGTCCCAGCAGCTGGGGGACCCAGGGTTGCGTGTTCTGCTCTCCTCCTCCTCCTGCAGACTGGACCCGTGTGGCAGGTGGTGACCGTCTGCTGTACACGGCTGCTGCTCTCTGTGCAGGGGAAACTCGGGGCCTCTTCTTTACAGAGCACCCCAGAGAGGGGCAGCAGGACCGCATTCTCACCCCGTCTGCCTGTTTGCCTGCGTCTCCCCCATCGCGTCGGGCGCTGTGTATTTCTACCGGCCTTTGTCTCGCCCGCTTGTTTGTACTGTTTTGAGTATAAAATAAAGCTGCTCTGCTCCACCCGTGCGAACCAGTCCTGCTCCGGGGGCGGTGCGGCGGTGGCTCCCCGGGGCCGGGCCCCGCCGATGCCGCATGCCCGGGCCCGTCGGCCCCATTGGTCCCCGCAGTCACATGCAGGGCGGCGGCGGGGCCGCCCGTTCCCTTCCTCCCTCCCTCCGCCAGGCTGAGCGCAGGGAGCGGCCGCGATCGCAGCATGAGCACCCTCAAGGTTTACAGCACCTCGGTGACCGGCTCCCGGGAGGTGAGCGGCGGCCCGGGCTCCGCTGGGGCAGGGCTGCGCGTCCGGGGCCCCTCTTCCCTGGGGTGGGCGTCTCTGAGCCATCCCTGGAGTCCCCTCCCCTGCTCTCGCTGCACCGGATCCATCCCTCCGCGCTGGGTGTCCCCCTTCGCCCCACGCAGGGCCGAGCCCCGCGGCCGGGTGCGGTCTGGATCCAGGAGCGCTTGCAGAGTGCGGCTGGCACGCTGGGGTGCGTGCCCGCCCTTCGGGCTCCTCTCCAGCTCCTCATAACCTGCCTTTCCCGCCCGGCTTCCAGATCAAATCCCAACAGAGCGAAGTAACCCGAATCCTCGATGGGAAAAACATCAAGTATGAGCTGGTGGATATCTCCCAGGACAACGCTCTGCGGGAGGAGATGAGGGCAAAGGCCGGTAACCCCAAAGCCATCCCGCCCCAGATCGTCAACGGAGACCACTACTGTGGGGTGAGGCTTGTGCTCAGCACCGTGGAGGTTGGGTGGTGGTGGGCACAGTCCAGTCCCTTCCTTTTTGCTACAGATGGTGTCAAGATGCCATTCAGAAAGCATTTCTTGTGAGGCACACAGACAAGGTGCTGCCAGGGTCAACGGAGCACGGTGGCTTGTGAAAAAGGGGTCCTGGGCAGGGGGACTTGGGGTGCGGGTGGGCAGTGAGGCTGTGCTGTGTGGGGCTGTCCTCATGTCACCCCGTCATTCTCCACACAACTGATGGCATCAGTGCTGTGAGCTGGTTTGCAGTGTGTGCTCAGGGGATGGGGGTGAGCAGCCCCTTTGCTCTTGCCTGGTGAGTGACTTGTGACTTCTCCCTGCAGGATTATGAGCTCTTTGTGGAAGCAGTGGAGCAAAACACCCTGCAGGAGTTCCTGAAGTTGGCCTGAGCCCCGGGCTCCCCTTTCATCCTGGACTCTACCTGCATCCCTGAGCACCCTCATCTCCGACCACCTTCACTTCCAGGTTGTCAGCGCTGTCCTGGCACCACGACCTATATATCCCAGCACAGGGAAACCCATGACCAAAACTACTCATTGCAGCTGCCTGCGATTCCCTCCTGCCTAACCCTGGTATCATCTCAGAGGGATCCAAAGAAAGTCTGACGCTCGCTGCGCATGGCCTGTGAGCAAAGCTGGGCCTGGCTCACGGCAGCTTCCAGTGCCTCTGTACACAGCAAAGCCTCTGGGGCTGTGTGAAGTGCAGCCATCTGTCAGCCCTCGCCTCTGCAGGGAGAGCTTCTGCTTCAGGAGGGAAGGGCTTAGGGTTGATGTTACTTCCCACTTGTCCCAGTTGCTGTTAAATTGTAAACCCTGCTGCCTCACTTCCCTTTTTTATTTTACTTTTGTTTAATTCATCTCAGCTGCACAGATTATGGCAACTAAGTCCTTTTTTGGGGGGTTTGTCTTAATTTAATGCAAAAATACTGCACAGAACTGGGGTCTGAGCATCCACCAGAGAGGCCCAGGGCTGGGGTGAAGGCTGGAGCTGCTCAGCAGGCTGCATGGGGGGATGGATGGACCTAGAGGTGGGACCTGTGCTGCTCTGGTGCCAGGGCTCCCTGGTGAGCGTTAATGGCTCAGGGCTGCTCCAGCACAGCTGATGCTCGGTTGTCTTATCTTTCCTCTTTAAGTTGGCTTTTGTTGCAACCCGGACCAAGTGCATTTTGTTTTCCTGCCAAAAAGGAAGTTTATAACCAGTGTTGTCTTTCAAGATGCTATTAAATGTTACTGTACCTTTCATGTCGGTACTGGTGGGTTTCTTTTAAATCTGGTTTTATTTTGACTACAGGTTAAACGTCGCCCTACGTAATGATTCTGAGTCATTTCCAGCTCAGAGAAGCCGAGTCAGTTGTACTCACTGATGCAGCCTGACACAAAGATCTTAACACCTTAGTTCTCTGCTGCTAATCAAAGGCTCACAGGACTTGTCTGAATATCCTACAGCACGGTAGTGACAGGTACCTCTCTCAAGTGTTCTTTTCTACATGGTGAGAGCAGCAGCCCAGAGGAGAACAGCTTCAGTCAGGCACAAAGATGACCTGGTTGATTACATACCAGTGTGTAGAGGGGCAGTGGAAAAGGCTGCCCTATAGGAGAGTCCTTGTATGCTCCTGTATCTGCTATAGGTGAAAAAGGAAGGAAACTAACTTGGAGCTGTGGGGATTGAGTCATGGGGAACCTGTGGAGGCTGCTGCTTTGGAGGAGTGGAGCTTCCTGTACTTGAGTTGTGCAGGGTCTGGCTCTGGTTGGAGTGGTCTGGGAAGAGCCCTGTGTATCCTGCCCCCTCCCGCAGGAGCTGTGCCCTTGAAATGTAATGGGACTGGAAACTGCATCTGAAATCAGTGGTTTTATGGGACTTTTGAGGGCTGGGTCTCTGCTGAAAGGGAACCAGTCAGGAGGTGCTGCCTCATGCAAGTGGGAGTGTTGTCAACTGGGAGTCAAGTGGGAGCTTGTCACAGCTGAAAAGGGAAGAATGTGCCTGGAAAAGGGCCTGCAGAGCACAGCCCCAGCCCACGGGAGAGGGAGGAAGATGCTTTATTCATGCTTCAGGGAAGCAGCAACGGGATTATGCTCTTCTCCAATGACACGGTGTCCTGTTGCAGCATCCAGCCCATGGCTGCAGCAGGGAGGGAGGGAGCCAGGCTGGCAGCTCGGTGTGGCTGCGAGCCGGGGCCCTGCCGGAGCTGGGGGCTGTCCAAGGGAAGGAGTTGTTCACGCACAGGAAACCCAGCAGCAGGATCTCCTGGCTGAGCCGAGCCTGGCTCAGACCCAGCCTTGCAACGGCTCAAAGCCTCTTGGTTCAGCTTCGCCAGGGACCATATAACTGAGCCTGTTTATCTCATGGTGTAAGGGCAGGTGAAATCGCTGGGGAGCAGCTGTGTGTGGAAAGCAAACTGACCCTGGCTGTTTGTCTGTCCTGCTGCAGTAGAGAATCCCTGAGCTAAGCCACTGTCCAGGACCAGTGTAAAGCTGGTGGCCTTCCCTGGGCTGGCATCAGCCTGTGTAACCCTTCAGCAGAGATGAGGAAACTGGGCTTGGGTCTGAGCTGACTGAAATGCCCCTGCATTAGGAGCCCAGTGGTCTTGGGGAAGAGCATCCACCCGCTGCCTCTGAGCACTTCTCTCTGTCCCAGGTAACAGCACAATGAAACTAAGTCTGGAAAGTCACCCCTCTGCTCTTCCCAGCCAGGGGAGGTTATAACACAGCTAAAGGTGCAAGGCAGCTCCTTCCTCTTGCAGAATTTGGGTGAGCAGCTCTTGCTAGGAGTTAAGCTGTTTGCAGCCCTCTTGCTGGCAGGGGTCTCTTCTCTGCAGCAGTAAGCAGGCATTGGGGGTCAGGCCGCATTCCTGCAGGCTCTGTGAGTTGTCCGTGTACACCCTCTGGGGAAAGGTACTGATGATCTCATACGAGTCGGAGTCTCCACCCCTAGGAAAGAACAGCACAGCTTTTCCTACAGGCAGGATCCCCAAGGTTTTGAGGGATCCTCTGGCCGATCCAGCTGTGGTTATGAAAGGAGGAGAGACCATTTCATAAGCACAAGCTGAGCAGAAAAAAAGGGCTTCCTGCCCAAAATGCAACAGCCAGGCACAGAGTGGCCATTCCAAGCAGCACAGCTGCGGTAGGAAGGAGGGTTTTGCATCCCAACAGCAATGAGCTCATCCTGGGCTCAGGCTGCAGCCAGGCCTATGGCCTGCAACAGGAGTGGGAAGAGGGGAGAGCAAAGGGGTTCCCCAGCTATCTGGAATTGTCCCCAAAGACGTGTGAGAGCCCTTAGGCAGCACTGAATCCATTGGGATATAGAGCTGGCTGAGCAAAGTGGGGTGTTTATCCAGCAGCAGATCCATCAGCCAAACTGAAGGCTGCAGCTCAGCTTCCAGGTTGCACCACCACATTGGGAATGGTGGGAATAGTTGGCTGGAAGCAGGCAAAGGCAGGGATGGACCTGGGTCAAGTGGCAACTCTGAGAGCACTGAAGAGGTTTATCTGTGCCTGTGTCAGCTTTTTGGCAAGGGTGAGTATTAAATACTTTGAGTTGAGTGTGACCCTGGCAGTGCTGCCTAGAGAGCATCTCAGGGGGTGCTGGCAGCTCCTGGGGCTGTAACCCTCAGCCTTGCTCAGCCAGGGCTGATGTCTTTGAAGCACAGCTCCAGGGCCTTCAGCAGCAGCTGGGAAACCTTCCCTAGGGCTCTATGGAGCTGGGTAAGGAGGGGAGCAAGCCCTAGGCCTACCTGGCATGGGCGAGGTGCTGGCGCAGGTCCCCGATGGTCTCTGTGAACAGCATCTTTACGATGTACGTCTGCTCCCCGCTCTCTGATTTGATGCGGAGAGTGCAGACACCAGGGGCAGGAGCTTCAACCTCTTCAGTCACCTTCACCCTGGAGGTGAGAGAACCTCATCAGTTGAGGAGCGAGTGCTGTGCTGGTGGCAGAGCCTGGGTCACCTCAACAGGGTGCTTCACATCTGGGAATGTCCTTGAGATGACTGCGTGCCAGCAGACCAGTCACAGAGCAAACCACTGCTTTGCTTTCCCTGCCTAAAGGTGCCTTGAGAAGAGGGTTGTTGACGTTTTTCAGCTCTTTCATTTTAGATCAGGCTGTCTGGTAAGTTCCTTGCCCTACTTCTTTGGTTAAAAATAATCTGCTTGGGTTTTTTTTTCATTCTCTATTTGGGTCTTGTCTTGCCAGAAGACTGAGTGGAAAAGTGCTGTTTGTGTGACCTCCCACTTGGGCATCGTTCTCCTGGCAGCATTCTCCCGTTTAACTTGATCACAAACAGCTTCTTAGATGGTTTCAAACTCTGAGGCCTTGGTTTGCTGTTGAGAAAGCTATTTCACAGCAGGAAGTAGCAGTTTGAACAACAGAAGCTTTTTGTTGGAGCTGTAAAAGATGGCAGGTTTGCTGTGAACAATTCAGTGGTCTTCCCAAAAGATCAACCTTCACCTTTCTTTCTATTTCTAAGGTGTAAAAGGGACAACTCCATTTACTTCCCTAACTGAAACCCCTGAAAGAAACCCACAGTGTTGAGGAGGAAGTAGGAAATAACAGGAGGAAGATGAGAGCCTGACAGGGCAGGGGCCGTGCCTGTACCTCTCCAGGGCAGGCAGCCTGGGTGTCTCCACTAGGATCTCTTTGCTGCTGCGCACCCCTTCAGAGGCCTGAAAGCAAAGCAGGTGAGTGTCACTACTGCCTGCTCTGCACAGAGAGCAGCCAGAGCCAGGAGAAGGTGCCAGGGTGCCACGTGTGCTCTGGTGGAGCCTCTCTGGGAGGAGGAGGTTATGCAGAGCTCAGAGAGGCCGAAGGGAACGGGTGCTGGCGCTGTGTAGGGTGATGAGCCCATGGAATCGCTCCTGGCACCTTCTCTAAGTGTTTGGGGGATCTGCTCGTACCTGCTGTGCTGCTCTGGCTGAGTTGTGGACACCAGTTGCCTCTTCTGTGTGTTTCAAGGGCTTGGAAAGCTCATTGAGAAGCTGCTCCAAGGAGATTTTGGGACCTGGTGAAGCAGGGAGGAGAATCGTCCATGTGTGACCTTTTTGACAAACAGTTTGTCCTCAGAACAGGCTGGGTTTGCGATGATAGAGCACAGCAGCAGACAGGGAGAGCTCTGACCTCCCTTAGCCACGCTGGGGCTGGCTCAGTCTCCCTCATTGAAGCTTGTCCCACTTTGTGACCCATTGAATGTTCCACTGTCAACCTCAGCAGTGAGCAACTGTGCAGCACACAGCTGGGATGCACAACAGGTTGAAACCTGGTTAGTCCTGCTGTGAACAGGGAAAACTGAAACTATGTCAGGTTTTAGACTTGGAAAACGTCCCATCTCATGAGGGTGTATTCGTAGGTTTCTGTTCCCTTTTCTGTGGTGGCAATGGGCAGTTATGTTTTCTTTACAACTCAGATAAAGGAAACATTTAGCACAGCTTCTGTCTGTGAGTGCCTTGAGATGAGCAAGCAAGTAGTACAGTTTTGTATAAACAGGAAGATGTTGCTGATGGGCACTGCACGTGTTTGGGTTGTTCAGTTACACATGCACAAACCCACTCTTTTCTATCTGTACGACTTGACTGCATTTGGTGTAAGCCCTGCCAGGTATTGCTTACAGACTTCTGGAATCTAGAAGCAAAATGAGGAATCTGGGACCTGACCTTATGTCCCATATTCTTTTATGAAAGCCTGAAGAGGAATCATCCCATATAGTTGAAGATCAGTCTGGCCTGAAGATGTCCACCTTTACAGAATGAGCTTGTAGGAGAACCAAAGGTTTAAGAATTTACCTGGGATCTGGGTGGTTTCCTGCACCTCACGTGATTTTGAACGGCCAACCACTTGTCCATGACCAGGAAAGCTCCCTGGAGGGTGTCTCTCCTGAAATACCATGTCCCTTCTGTCAGTGACCTGTTAAATTAAGACCAGCTGCCATAAGCAAATCTTAACAGTTGGACAAGTTTGTTCTCACTGCATCAAAGCACAATAAACCACAGCAATGACAACCAAGAGTTGTAAACCCCAGGTGAAACCATGACAGCTGCTTCTGATCAAATGAAATCCATTTTCAGCTCCTATAGGCTCTGTTAACAAAGCAAATCCTTGTGTATCCCCCAGGTTCCTGGGATGGGCCACCCAGACTGCAGGGCAATTGTTCATTCAGCTCCACAGGCACACCAGTTGTAAGAAATGTGCTTGGACCTGACCTTTTCCCACCTGCAAAGGCTCTGCAGGTGGAAGGTGCTGTGGAAGCAGCAGG